CTTGCCCGGGGCTTCAAAGGGCCGCCCTACAGGCAATCAGTGTAAAGCAGTTTTTTTTCCCCCTAGCTAAGCTTCAGAAATGAAACCGAAACCAGGGTCTTTGGTGCAGCGTGACAAAATGAGGCAGAGAGAGATTTATTTTTATTTTTATTTTTCCTCCCCAAAAAAGGTAGGTGAAAAACTGCAAACAATGGGAAATTTAGGAGGAGAGTTCAAGATTTTAAAACACAAAGGAAAAAAAGCTGTATTTAACTAGGGAATTGTAATAATTGAGATACTATTAATTGTATATTGTGTTGAAAGCAGAAATGGTTAAGTTGTGGTTCGGAGGAATATATGGGAGAAATTATTTGGTTTATTATTATTGGTAAATATAATTAATTGATTTGTAAGAAATTGGATTGCATGGAAATAATTGGAATATTCATGTTCATATTGATTAATATACAAAAAAGATAGTTTTATAACTAATTGATTTATATTAAAATGTTGAATTTGTATTAAACAACTGTATTACATAATTACATAATTAAACAATGTGAGGATGGATATAAAAATAGATGACAATGGGAAGGGGTATAATATAGAATAGAAGGGAAAAATTGAATTTGATTAAGATTAGAGATGAGGATGAAGGGTAATATTGTTTTTTTAAAAAAATAGATGAGGAATAAATATGGCAAAAAGGAAATATAGAAATTGTAAATTAAATTGAAATGACTAAACACTGTTCAAATTTGTGAACTGGCCAAATACTCTGTTCAAAGAAAATACATTGTATGTTTGTATGTGTGTTTCTAATTATTGCTATTTATTCATATTTGTTCTCTTTTATTCTTTAAAGTTTAACAATTCATTCTTTATCTTAATATCTTTATATTTGCTTGGGGTTGGCTTTCTTCCCTTTCATCTTTTTTATTGTACAGCAATCTTTCTCCTCAAACCTACCACCTCTCTCTTTTCTTTCCTTCTTACTTTCTCTTCCCCCCACCCTCTTTTTCTCCTCCCTACTTCCTCTTTCTTTCTCCTTCTCCTCCTCTCTTCCTCCCTCTCTTACCCTCACTCCTACTCTAATTTCCATTCCTTCATCCCTCTCTATTGCTGTAATCCTTTAATGCATATGGACTACTCAGAGGGCTGAAAAAGTTATTTTTGACTGGTCCTCACACTTTTGACCAGTCCTCGAACTTATGACTGTCCTCACATTTTACATTTTTGCCCTATCTTGTCATCATGGTGAAGAGAAGCAGTTGTGAAATGAGTGACATGGTTGTTAAGAATGCTGCATGGGCATAAATGTGAGGATGGTCATAAGTGTGAGGACCAGTCAAAAGTGCGAGGACCTGTCAGAAATGACTTTTTTCAGCTCTCTGGTTAGTCCTTTTGTGCATATGGACTACTCAGAGGGCTGAAAAAGTTATTTTTGACTGGTCCTCACACTTTTGACCAGTCCTCGAACTTACGACTGTCCTCACATTTTACATTTTTGCCCTATCTTGTCACCTTGTTGAAGAGAAGCAGTTGTGAAATGAGTGACATGGTTGTTAAGAATGCTGCACGGGCATAAATGTGAGGATGGTCATAAGTGTGAGGACCAGTCAAAAGTGTGAGGACCTGTCAGAAATGACTTTTCAGCCCTCTGAGTAGTCCCTATACACATAGCCATGGCCACCCGGTCACATGACCAGGTAGCCACGCCCACCCAGTCACATGACCAGCTAGCCACGCCCACAAAATAAGCCACACCCACAATGTCCCTCTTTACCAATGTTAAAATCTGGTCACCTTATTATATGGTGAATCTATAAATAAAGACAATGTGAGGTAGCAAGTCACAAGTGTCTTGAGTGATGCTAAGGAACATTTTCCTAAATTGGCTTAAAGAAAAGGAATAAAGCAAATGGGTTTTGGACTGCAGGATATATTGTCTATTTTTGAGGGTTTTTTTGTTTTTGGATAAGTTTTTCCTAATATTATAATCATTTGTTTATACCCTTGTAAAAACAAGTTTTTGGGGAAAGAGAGAATGAGAGAGAGCGAGAGAGAGCTCCATGGGCCACAAGAAGACGATATAGTTTAATACTAGAAGAAGTAAATCAAGATTGTTGAATGGAAGAACATATCTAAAGCTTAAATATCTTACAAAGGCAGGAGTCATTGACAAGACCCTGATTTTTTGAAACGCCAACTGTAAAAGATGCCAAAGGCAAAGTGGCTAGTTAATATTACTGATGACCTAAGCATGAATTTGCTTTAATTCAAAGAAGCAGTTCCTGTGAAATGTTGTCCATCAAGTCATAAAATATTGAAAATGACTGAAAAACTGAATCAAAACAACAATAAATTCTTTTTAAAAACCATAGACCTTCATTTTAAGGCAACGAGGTCATTTTTTTAAGGACCAAAGAAAGAACAATAAAAAATGAATGAATCAGTTTTATATACAGCAATTCACTCAATTGTGCTTTGGAAAAATCAACAATACATCATATTTTTAATCTGGTTTCAGTTTACTATTTTCTAAATTTCAGTAATAAACCAGCTTCATTAAATTGACATTTAGGATGTAATTAATCTCAAAAATTGGCAGAAATCTTTAGACCTTAGGAAAAAAAAATCAATTTGAAAAAACTATTTAATACTAGCACTCCTTTTTCAAAGCAGTAGATGATTAAAATACAAAATGGTAAGGTGATTAGTCAGATTAATAGCCAAATTAACTCCAAATCACTTATGATCTGCCATGTAAAAGAAAATCCTTTTACTAAGAGAACATATGTGGCCACAATCCAAAATGTGGAGTGGGACCATCTCTCAAGCTGCCACGTATGCTTTCTAGCCAGAAGATGTCCACTTCTAACAATAATATTTTCCTGAAAAGGACTGGACAGCAGCTGAAGAGGAAAATTTGACTGGGACTTTGCACAGAACTTGTGAGAGGTTGACTCAGCCTTCCATCCTTCCAAGGTTAGTAAAATAAGGACCCAGATTGTTGGGCACTCACACTGTAAACTGCTCTGAGAGTGCTGTAAAGCACTATGGAGCGGTATATAAGTGCTAAATGCTATTGCTATTAGTTGCTCGGAAGGAAATCCACTTGCTCCCAGCTATGGGACATGGGTATATGTCTACATATCTCCTGAAGAACCAAGGCCTCCATCGCCATCTCTTAATACCTCCAAGACTGAGGGTAAAAAATGGAATTGCAGAAAAAAAAGTTTAGAGATATACAACAGACAGTTTTCAATGACACCAAAGTGGGTAATAAGGTTATGCAATGCAAAGCAGTGTGTTTTATATACACATACATATACATGCATACCTACCATGTTTCAACTACCATGTTTCCCCAAAAATAAGACATCCTCGGATAATAAGCCCAATCGGGCTTTTGAGCGCATCCCCTGAAAATAAGCCCTCCCTGAAAATAAGCCTTCCCTGAAAATATTTAAATGCATGTGCAGCCGGTCCCCATCATTTCCTCTGGTTAGGGTTAGGGAGACATAGCTGGAAATCAGGTAAGATGGCAAGAGGAGCCCCATCTTGCTCCATGCACCCCAAAATAATAAGCCCAAGCACTTATTTTGGGGTTCAAAAAAATATAAGACAGGGTCTTATTTTTGGGAAAACACAATATTGAATCCATAGCTGAACAAGTCTTCCCTATCAAATGGAAGCGATTGTTACATTCAATTTATACATCTTTCTGTTGATGTTCTGCAAAAACATCCCTATTTTCCTACATAGTAATTTAATGTGATAATAGGATATCAAACAGAAAAACATCAATTATCTCATATCTTATGGAGATTTTCTCATTTTCTGCCATGAGTTCTTAGTGTTCTTCAAAACTGCAGGAAAAAATGGGAGTAGCAACTGGAATATTTACATCAGGATGTGTCAACTGAAAAATTTAACCAGGAATAGGTGAAGGCAGTTAGGAAACCACCTGGGTATTTTAATACTGGAAAATAGCTGTTCTGAACAACATTGCTGTTTCCCCAAGGAAGATTGATTGATCTTCAATTATTTCTCCAAAACATGTGAATAGCTTTGCAGATATAACTGAAGAGGTATTGATCTGATCCTCTGCATTAAAGGAGAAGTTTTATGTTGAGTTTGGGACAATGCTGAAGAGGGTTTATGCATTCCTGGAACTGACAAGTATCACATGTGGTTCAAGAACTAGAAGTAAAATGACAACTGAGATGGCAGATTTGTAAAATGAGACTAGGAGGAGGAATATTGTAATTGTACTATTTCTGTCAACATAATGTTATTATGAAACTGTCTGCTAATATAGGGACATTCTTTGTAGACAGCTGTGTTTGCTAGTGCTGGCTCCCAGAAATCTGAATATTGTATCATTGAATTTATCAATGTAACTTTCTCAAGTCTTTGCTTAAATGACAATGATTTTCCCAAACCCTAAAAGGGGGGGGGGACCATGTTGCCATTGCAAAATATTAATAAATAGATTGTAAGAAAATTGAATTGTAGAGTGTTAAGAGACCAGGGATCCCAAGGGTTGACTTAAGTAGTTTAAGTCATGAAGAATTAAATAATGATTACTGAACTAGATGGGTCAGGTTGGGAAATAAATGTTCATTTCACATTCAGATGTAAATCTCTAAAATTAGGTCTGAGATAAGAGAAACATCAGCAGAGTAATCAAACATAAAGAGCCCAGGTCTGTTAGTTGAGAATTGAAAATGGTACTAGGGTATATGGCATTGGAAAAAGCAAAAATAGATCAATCTTTTCCTTTTCCTTTTTAAAAAACTCTAATGGACAATGTCTGAACTGGGAGAAACCATAATTGATGAATATCTATCTATCTATCTATCTATCTATCTATCTATCTATCTATCTATCTATCTATCTATCATCTCTCTCTCTCATCTCTCTCTCCCTCCCTCCCCCCCCTCTCCCCTTACTTTATCATCTCTAACCTCCAAAAATCAGTAGAGAAATTATTTAAAAGAACTTAATGGAAAGACCTGATTTGAGCCCAGGGGCATGGACACTTAGCTTCCCATTTGAAGTCTTCTTCAGGCTTTTTAATGGGGTCTGCAGAAGAAGAAAAAATAGATAATTCACCATATCTCCCTGGAGAAGAAACCCCTTGGAAAATGGATTACTGCATTAAAAGAAAGGGGGTAATGTAAAAACCTAAAGGGAATGGATTATTATAGACTTCTTTACTTCTGTGGTTCTTTTGCATCTCTTCAAATTTCATTCCATTTAATTAAATTTTGCTTACGAAAATGGGTAAGTTTTAATTCTCCTTTTGACATTTTCTTTTTATGGGTCTTTGTATGTATAGCTCATTGTCTTTGTATGAATCCAACCTGAAATTATATTTTAGATTATTACACATCTAAATGGCAGTTAATTCAAAGGTATTATATAAATTCTTGCTACTATTTTGTTCCTGATAAACGAGGCAGATTAATTCTAAATACCTGGTTATTGAAATAACATGGCACTTTTGATTTAAAAAAAACATATTAGTGAAATGATGTCTTATCCCCAGAACAGTGTGCAGCACTTGACTTGGAATGTGGGAGAATTGTGTTAATTAATGGGATTGTTTAAAGCTGTGTTAAGTGGTCATTTCATTAAGCAATAATGGATTAAAAATCGCAAAGACTGAGTGAGAATTCAATCATGGTATGAAACTTAGAGATGGCACTCTAGCATCCTTCAGAGTACTGCACTAGGCATTCACAGTATAATTATCAATTCAGCCACTTCACTCAGGTTCAACTAAAACTCTTTGGGAGATTTCTAATCCTTATAAGCACAAAATAATAATATTTTTTAACTAGCAGATATATAAAGTGGAAATATCTTTTTTCCAATATAGGACCCAAACTTAATATATTTGTGGCTTTGAGAAAATATAACATGGCTTACAGTCATGAAAAACATTCTGAACAAATAAAAAAAATAATTGGCTAGAAACATTACAAACTGAGTTTATTTTCCTGTGGGGGATTTTTCATTGTCTCTTTCATCACATCTATCGTCTTAGCACGATCTTGCATGGAAAGGGGCATTATTCACATCCAAAGCCCTTCCTCCATTGTCTTGATGCTACAAGAGTTATCTTTATTTCCACATCAGCATTTCTTCATAAAGCAAGCAGGATACTCAAGGACTATCAGTGGCTCCCCCATTTTTGTTTCAAATAACAGAAATGTTGAAACTAAGACTCAATCCAATTTTAACTGCTCAGCTTTGACAACACAGCCTTAATAGCCCTACTAACTCCTATTATTCTGAGGAAAGAAGCCGATCTCTTACTTCCCATCCTGAAAAGAGAAATACTGCCTTGAAACAACAATATTACAAGATATCATTGTAGGATGAGGTTGATACATGAACACTTTCTCAACTCAATGTTTCTCAACCATGGTTTCTCAACCATCGCAACTTTAAGATGAGTAGACTTCAACTTCCACAATTCCACAGCCAGCATGCAAGGAAAGAAGTCCACACATCTTAAAGCTTGCATGATTTAATAACACTCTGTTTAAGGGATTGTTGGTGAAGACCTGGCTTCAGCATACATAGTTAAAACCTAGTTTCTCCCTGGCAGAGGAACTCTTAATTCCTCTCCAACATCTTTAGTGCCCCATACTTATGAATCCACTAGTAAGATTTCCAGTACCTAATTCTAAATATTTGTTCTTCAGTGAACAAACAGACCACAGCAACAAGCATTAATGAGACAATGTAACTGTCCTTAAACTTCAATTTACTTCATAGTACTACAATTCGCCATTTTATCCTGTCATTTGAAATTTGTAGAGCAATGATAAAGGTAGAGATTCCCTCGCACATATGTGTTAGCCGTTCCCAACTGTAGATGGTGGTGCTCATCTCTATTTTAAAGCCAAAGAGCCAGTGCTGTCCAAAGACATCTTCATGGTCATGTGGCTGGCATGACTAAACACCAAAGGCTCACGGAACACTGTTACCCACCAAAGGAGGTCCCTATTTTTCTACTTGCATTTTACATGCTTTCGAACTGCTAGGTTGGCAGAAGCTGGGACAAGTAACAGCACTAGGGATTCGAAGACTAAGATTAGTCACTGAGCCACCACATCCCTAGAGCAATAATAGTGATTTCCCTATTCCCACTTCTGAAGAAAAACTGATGATGGGATGGCTGAATTAACTTTTGCTTCTCCAGCAATGTTATTCCAAACTGAGAAACGTCTATAATATGAACTATTTCTCAGCCATTCAGTTGTTGACATTTGTAAACTGAAGGTTCTCCTTTGCTACGAGAGGTAATCAAAGAGCTTTAGTGCAGTGACAATAATGCAGAGGGCCAAGCAAGTTGATACAGCTCTTGTATTAAGCCGCTCTGTCTAACCCTGAGAAACATGTCCTTCTGGCAGGTTTTTATTTGCATTGGCACATGCATGATGGTATTTATGACTTACGTGCCTGTTATCAGTTAGCAGAAGAAGAACAAGTTGGTGGCCATGCATAAGTTTCAATCATACTTAAAGGGGATTTCACCAAAATTTAATCTGTCCATTAACTTTGCAGTTTTATTCTCCTCTAAATAATCCATCTTTCATGTTCAGGAATTCTGTTCCAACACACTAACTTAAAGAAACAATGGCATATATTTCTAATGTTATTTCTTTCCTATTGAAAGAGGAAAAAAAAATGACCAGTCTAGTCACTCACATGCCTAGGTCAGTTCTGACCATCTTGAAGTATGATTGTACAGTGTTTCTGGATATCTTGTTGTCCACTGGTTCACCAAAAAGCACATTCATACCCACAAACCAGCGGTGAAATCCACTTATCTTTGCTATCGGTTCAGGAATGGGAGCATGTGGGTAAAAATGGGACGTAATGATGTCCCAGCAGGTGGACAGAGCCTCCTGCTGCCAGCACTACCGGTTCACACGAGCCGGATAGATCTGGCTGGATTTCACCGCTGCCACAAACATGTACTTTTTTGTCACTGAAATATTGTAAGATCTTCTGTGACATTACTGAAATCTATGCCAGAATTTTGGTAAAACTTTTCAATTATGAGGTGGGCATTCTGATGTCATGAGGTCATGAACTGTGTGAGAGAGTATTTAAATGGTGAAATTTTAAAACATCTACTTTAAAAAAAAGAAGAAAAAAGAAGAAAGAACTAATTAAAAAATCCATATTGTTACTATATAAATTTAATTCAGCCATTAAACTTATCATTCAGTCTATACCAAAAGCAAAATCTGGTATCATCTTCTCATTTTTTGAAGAAACTTTTCAAAAACTGAGAACAAGCTCATATCTTGAATCCGTTCATTAAAATCCAAAGAATGCATTTCTTGGCAATGGGTCATGCAGATCTAGCCATGGACTGAAAAGATTGTTGACCTCTGATCTCTATGATTAAAACCTGGGCCTTGTTCTAGGCAAAGCTTGTACCCCACACCCTGAGGTACAATTCTGATTCTGTCCAAAGAGCCTAAAATGGAGCTATCATGAAGCTTCTGTGGGCTTGCATTTAGACTCAATTGCCACACCCATAAAGATGAGATATCAGAGGCCTTTTGCCAGTTAGGTTTAGCTGGCATCTCATCTACTTGGCCATGCTTATTTTCCCTGAGGGTGCTCTTTAATTGCTGTTTTGGTACCAAGAATACTCATTTTCTCTAAGGATCCTTTCATGGTGGGGCTTGTATTACATGTACAGTATCTTCTCCTTCTTCTTGACATGAAAAGTATTTCCTGATACCTGAACCTCCTGCACTACTACTCCTCCTCCTTTTGGTCATGTGCATATCTTTTGTTTCCATGCTTTCCACTGGCCTGAACTGAAGTTTTGTCTGTCTCCAGCACTCTGTATATTGCAGAAGGAGATGACAAATGCAATGGCCTGGTTATGGTAAAATAGCAAATTTCACAGTTGGTCATGGATTAACGGGAAGCCAAAACAAACACAAATGAAGTCATCCTGATTGTTATGAATGGTCCTTTGGCTGCCATCAAACAAAGGCTAAAGCACAGCATAAAAGCATACCAATGAATAAGATCTGCAATTGCCCTTTTAGACTATTCAGAGAGGCCCAGGTCTCCCTCCTCCCCACCCACCCCCACCTCAAATGGATTTGTACAATTCATCTGTCTGGATGTGTGGTGATGAAAGATGAGAGATATACCATTCTTTAACCCTACGATACCACATTTCACAGAAAATTACAACAGGACAATATTTCCATAGCAGACAAAGAACCAAATGTTTTCTGTGAGGTTTATGACACTGTGATGTATGTGCAGCTTTATCTGCATGCTTTAAAAATGTATATAGCACGGTTAAGCCACATGGAAAATGCCTTTGAAAGATTAAGGTTTTTAAGTCAGTTTTCATAGTTCATTCTGGCTTCTCCTGGTTTCCTTCATTGCCCTTCCTTGTCCTTTCAGTTAGTACTGCTTTCTCTGGCAAATGGTGATAACCACAATAGAAAACAGCAGAAGGCCTGTAGTAAAATACCAGATAAATCATCATCTTCTCCATGAGTTTCCAGTTTGCTTTTGGGTTGACTGCACCAGTCTTTGTTTGATTATTTGAGTGCTTCTCCATATTGCTAAAATATGTCCCAAAAGATTATAGTAGTATTCCATTTGTATCACAGATCCATGCATTTTGAGCCCACTGCTTTGTGCATTCGTCAGATGCATTCTGTACAGCAGAGGAAATCTATGGACAGATAAAGCAGAATATCATCAAGCATCATTTAAAATTTGACTACAGGGTGTAGAGCCATCTGGTTTTCTTTCCAGATTATCTACAAGCATCTATTGGGGTGTAGTGACCAGCTTTTATTATTTATTTTTCTTCTAAGATCTTTATGTTAAGGGTTTCCCTATGTACAATATTTTAGAATTACTTATGTTTTAAAATTATGAAACTAGAGTTGTGTAATTTGAAAATGCACGTGCATAAGAATTGAACGTAAAAGTGTTGGAAATAAACTTCCACAATCTTCAAATAAGAAGGAGATGATATCTGACAATCTCAAGGACCTCCAGGTTGAAAGCTACTTGAAACATTGAGAGGGAGCACTTCTGCCTCACTTCCAACACCCACAATGGCACTATTGCTATTCATTCATTCATTCATTCATTCATTCATTCATTCATCTGACATAATTCCCACACATGTATGACTGGGTGACTCACAGTCATTAAAAACAGAAATCAAAATCAGATTTAAAAAGAACAAACAAATTGACCAAGGTGATAACTATTTAATATGTGATATATAAGATAGTCTAACTTAACATCCTGGGCATGGAAACAGCCAGGTCTTCATGGTTCTGCAAAAAGCAAGCAAGACAAGGACCATACTATAGGATTCCATAGGGCAGGCATTGTAATAGAGAGGTCTCATCACATGACCCTATTTAATCAAGGAATCAAAGCACAGCTAGTCATATAGAAATGAATACAATTACCTGACCTGAAGAACTGTGTGAAATTCTCTTGATGCTGATATTCATGCAATGTCTGGCTGTTTAGAGCTAGGATCCCCAGTATGGTGTAAAGGGCAAAAACTACACGACTACAACTCTAGAAGACTAGGCTCTAGAAGACATTGGAACCCCCATCCCTTGTCCATCATCTGTCATTATGTAATAATGACTGATGTAGTTCCCATCTTCAAAAAAAGGGGAAAATGGATTCAGGAAACCACAGACTTATTGGCCTAACTTCAATACCTGGGAAGATTCTAGAAAAGATAATAAGCAATGAATCTGTGAACACCTAGAGGCAAACAAAGTCATAACCAGAAGCCAACATCTCTGACAGAGTGACAAAATTAATGGACCAGCAAAATGCTGTGGATATAATTTACTTGGACTTCAGTAAGGCATTTGATAAAATAAACCACAACCTACTACTTGATAAAATAGAAAAATGTGGGTTAGACAGCATTGCCACCAGATGAATTCATAACTGGCTGACCAAGCAAAGCCAATTTGTAGTCTTCAATGGAATTGCATCTATACAGAGGGAAGTGAGCAGTGGGATACCCCAAGGATCTGTCTTAGGCCCAGTACTCTTCAATATCTTCATCAGTGATTTAGATGAGGGATTAGAAGGGGACTCAGCAAATTTGCAGATGACATCAAGCTAGCAGGAATAGCCAACATTTCAGAAGATACAGTCAGACCTGAACATTGGGCCCTATCTAATAAAATGAAATTCAGTGGTGAGAAAAGTAGGGTTTTATGTTTAGGCCAAACAAAACCAAATGGTATAGTATCTGGCTCAATACTAGTAAGTGTGAGAGGGATCTTGGAGTCCTAGTGGACAATCACTTAAATACGAGCCAGCAGTGTGCTGCAGCTGCCAAAAAAGCCAATATAGTCCTAGGCTGAATTAAAAGAGGGATAGAATCCAGATTGCATAAAGTGTTAATACCACTTTATAATGCCTTGATAATACCACACTTAGAATATTGCATCAAATTTTGGTCACTACAATATTAAAAAAATGTGTTGAGACTCTAGAAAGAGTGCAGAGAAGAGCAACATAGATGGTTAGGGGACTAAAGGCTAAAATATACAAAGAACAGTTGCAGGAATTGGGTATGTCTAGTTTAATGAAAAGAAGGACTAGGGATGACATGACAGCAGTGTTCCAATTTTTGAGGTGCTGCCACAAAGAAGAGGGGGTAAACCTATTCTCCAAAGTGTTCTGACCTAGGCTTCCTGATACAATAAAAGCACACAATGAGTCCCCAAAACCCTCTTTTTATTTCCACGGCTGTGAATTCTGTTCATTCAAAGCCTGTTCATTCCCAATCTGTTCATTCATAGAGGAGTCCCAAATAATTGTAAAGAGTCCGACAGGAACTCACAGGAACACAGGGTCAACACAGAACTGCAGTCTTGAAACCGGCCAGCACGAACAACAGTTGCTTCCTGCAAAGGGCTCACGTGCCTCTGCTCCTCCTTTATGTCTTATGGGAGGGGCCAATCATCTCCAAGCCTTACTCCTGAGTCATCTCTTTTGTTTTAACTGTTCTTGCCTTCTGGCAACTCTGTGCATGTGCGCACTGGGAACAGGCTCCCCCTGTTTCTCTGCCTCGCTGATGTCCAACTCTGGAGGCTCCAGAGTCTGCACATAACTCCCAGATGGCCCTGGCCCCATCTCTGCCCCCGATGCAGAGCCCTTGTTCGAGCCTTCCCAAGACTCCAGGACTGGCCCATGTTCCTCCCCAGTCTCCTCACTGTCCGACTCTGCTGCCAGCTCCGCAGGCCGCCAGCGGACCACAACACAAAGCACCTGAAGGAAGGACAAGAAGCAATGGATGAGAACTAATCAAGGAGAAAACCAACCTAGAACTAACGAGCAATTTCCTGACTGTTAGAACAATTAAACAGTGGAATGACTCTTCTCCAGAAGTTCTGAGGTATCTAAGAAGAGATTGGGCAACCATTTGTCTGAAATGATATAGGGTTTCCTACTTGAGCAGGAGGTTGGACTAGTAGACCTCAAAAGTCCTTCCAACTTGGTTATCCTGTTATTCATTAGATCTGCAACACTGCCTAAAAATTCAGTTCGTCTCATGACCAATTCCATTCTTCTGAAAGATAAGACTTTGGGTTCAGTATTAAGTAGTTTGGATACAGAGTAATTCCTGCCTTACTTCAGTCCCAGTCACCAGGCTGTAGGAAAGTCAAAAGCAGAAAACTGCTTTTCATAACAAGGTAGTAACAGAGCTATAGCATTTTGTTTAAAATATCTGCAAAAGATGAAAAAAAAAAACATTTACCACCCCAGCGTGGAAGAAAGTTAAATTGATCATTCAGAAAAGCTAAGACTACCCTGTTCGCTATCAAGGTAACAAACATTATTTTCAACATCCAAGGGCCCCTTTGGCCATGTTCACTTAAAACAAATGAGTGCCTATTAAAATAATGAGAGTTTGTTAATCCACCCCTCCGACATCAAATTAACTCAGATCGGTTCAAAGGCAGAACACTTCAATACATTTTTTTCCCTGACAGGTAGGAAATTAACTGGATACCATGAGGTATTGAATTCAACTTTAATGGTATCAATAAACATTTCTGATTAAATTATGGAATTGATTTTATAATTCTGACCATTATGTTTTTACATCAATATCATCATATGACAAGCAAATGTAGTTACTGCTTTCTTATTGATCACAAGCATAGCACTCCAAAGCATTCAGTTGACTATATTACAAAATCAAACTTGATTTCCTATGTACAGCAGTAACTTTAGGTCCTAAACTAATATGAAAGCTGAAGAATAAATGAGTTATCAAGTTATTCAAAGATATACCCCCTCCCATTCTATTCGCACAACTCCTCCCTTGGACATCAAGAAGTGAAATGTTCTGCCAGGTTGTTTATACAGTTTTGTGCAGGACCTGGCTTGCAGGCACACAATTATTTTCATGTGTCAGGTCTTAATCTCTCACTTTTAACAATGATTAGCAATCTATCATGCTTCTGCTGAGTAATACAAATACTATTTTATTAACAAGGAGGAACAAAGTGTTATTTATAATGTTCTCATTCAAGCCAGCCAAGCAAAACAAAGTGTGGGGGGGAAACCTTTCCATAACTTAGAAGCATTGTGCTCCATCTCTCCTGGTCCACTCTATCAAAGATAATAGTTAAGTGTTAGCCATTCCATTTTATCATAAGGTTTAATGTTCTGTTAAGAGAATGCATCATTCAAGACCACGAGTTATTCGAATCCATGCATAATAGTAAATCAAAGATGTAATCGTGCTAGATAGGAAAATGAAGAACAACTCTGATCAGGTTAGAGAAGTTTAAGTTACCAATCTCTCATTTTAAACAGTTGTAAATTATTTATTTTTAAGGTTCCTCTCATGTCAATGTCATTGCAAAGCTGGAAGTTCCTCCTTGATAGGAGAAACTAAACAAAAGGCCATCAACCAATTGAATCTCTAAGCTACCTTGTCAGATTCCAGCATTACAGCATGCCTCCTTGAACATCAATACATTACCTGAAGGTGTCTTTTCAAACCAGCGAGTCATGTTTCTTCCTGTGTAATTATATCAGCATCTGTTTCAGAAATCCGACTAATCCTTTGGGCTTTGCAGGTCAACTGAAGGCTTGTGCTCTGATCACGGGTGTGGGATTAATCTTTAATATTTGCAAAAGTATTTAGAATCATAACAAGTATTTGCCTTGACAAGCCCCATGGAAAACAAGAGCAGATTTTCTCTGGCACCTTTTTCTGTTCAAGCAAGCTGCCTTTAAATAGAACATTGACATAAAGGTGTGAATTATGGAGATTAAGGTCATTCAGGCTCTTTGAATCACATAAAATAGACTTCTGAAAGAGAACACAGTTGTCAGCCACCGATGTTAAAGTGGGATCTATGCAGCCATCTGAAAAGGGCACTGAAAACCCTGTTGAAAGCCAGATCCCATAAAGACAGCTGTAGAATCTACTAATAAGTGTACATAAAGATATTCATGTATATATACAGTATTTGACTTCATCACGTTGTACTACCTGCAACCCAAAAAAGCAAACCCCACCTTCTGGGAGCCACCACCCCTTTTGTGATTCCAAAAGACTATCCTCTCCTCTTTAATTTTGGTCATTAAGGTCAATATAGATGTCTTAATTTGCTTCATCAGGTTAGGGTTTAAATCTCAAACTTATAAAAAAAGTATTAAGAAAAGGAACTCTCAATTGTCCATTCATATCTCCTGGAGTAAAAGGAAGAACCATGCAAGCTATCACCATTTTAATCAAAACTCCAATATGCAGAAGTATTGTACCTCTGAGTACTAAATACTGACCACAATTATCCTATTTGAGTTGGCCCATTATTGGAGCCAGATACCTTTTAATTTGTAAGCTGCCCAGAGTCACCTTGTATGGAATATGGATGGCATACAAATTTAATAACTAAGTAAATAAATGGAATGTAGAGAAGCAATAGATAAGTATTCTGTTGCTTCAGTACTTTTCATCACTGCCTATGCTGAGTGATGATAAGTTAGTAAGATCATATTTTTCCCAGTTCTGGGTTAGATAGTATAATCCATCAAGATTCTTATGATTAGCACTTCCTGTTTTAGAAATTAAGAACTGCTGGTATCAAAAGCATCTTTTGATGCTTTAGAGCCAAGGTAGTGCAATGGTTAGAGTGCAGTACTGCAGGCTACTTCAGCTGACTGTTAGCTGCAGTTCAGCAGTTCAAATCTCACCAGCTCAAGGTTGACTCAGCTTTCCATCCTTCCGAGGTAGGTAAAATGAGGACCCAGATTGTTGGGGGCACTATACTGACTCTGTAAATTGCTTAGAAAGGGCTGTAAAAGCACTATGAAGAGATATATAAATCTAAGTGCTGTTGTTATCTTTTGCCATCTGCCTGTTCCGTTTAGTTGCTCTTACTGCAAATCCTATCCAATTTCAAGCGGATGCATTCTTATGCAAGTTAAAGTTTTTACCTTTCTTTTTCAAAGGAAGGGAACTAATTTATTATCCTCTTATCTTTCAGCAAGGATTGTTGATAAAAATTATTTTCACAAACAAGTAAATCAATTGCACTTCGAGAAAGACAAGAGGAAGGAGAGGTTTGAGAGAGAATTAAATTGCATTTGCAAGGAATATCAAACTATCCAAGGCAAAAATGGAACTCACAATATCTTAAATAGTTCCTGGAGTGTTGACTTTGGCAATTACTTTATTTTGGAAAAGGGCCTAAAATCTTCCAATGATTTTATGTGGGCCTTAAGAATCCATCAAGGTGTTGAACTGTTTTATGTTTATCAAGCCTCAAGGGAAAAGACACCTGCGAAGCACCAGCATTGGAAAGTTCCTGAAAACTGAACTGTCAATCAAAATTGGCTCCAGATCTCTTCTGGCATTTTATTGAAATATAGGAAAAGTATATTACAGGGAAATAAAACACTGGGGGACTATCTTTGTGCAGTCCTCCTGATGAGCTTGTCCCTGTGATCAGAAGACAAACCTAGTTGCTTGACTCCAACCCTCTACCTTCTTACCCTCTTCCTCCTGCTCCTCTGCCTTCATCTTAGGGGAAAATGGAAGCAACAGAGCCCTTTTGGCAATGCCAGTTGCTCATTTATAAAACTGGTATTCAGCTTTGTTATTGTTACAGTAACTCCAATCCCAAAATGGTGTTCAAAGCAGGACATCAGCTGCCATGCAACTTTATGAAGGGCCAAGACATTTAGGAAGCCTTAGTATCCTGTCTAGAATGGATTTCTTCTACTTTGCCTTGTTCTGCCTTGGATTTGAGTGCTAGGCATCCACTGAGACTTCAAGGTCAAGATGGATCTATGTATGATCCTTATTTTGAAAGCAAGCCAGACATAAAGCAGCTTCCCTTTATTGTAACATTTTGTTTGACTCTTGCTCAAACTGAATTTGCTTTTATTGTTCTACAGTTGGGGAATAAAGCAGGTTTCATCGGGGTTACATTAACTATGATTGCTCTGCTTAATCATTGTAGCCTTTGCACGTCTAGATAACAATCATCTTTTAAAAGTATTATATTGGACTAAAGCAGGGGTCGGCAACTTTAGACATTCAAAGAACCACAAAGGTCCTAATTGGAAGCCCCCCATTCAATTCTGGAGCCAACTGGAAGTCCGGTTCCCCCACCATAGAGTCTCCTCCTAGCACAGCATCCTTTTTCCTCTACCTGTCGTAACCGAAAGCCCTATCAACTGTGGAGCCAACCGGTGACAGGGAGCCACAGCAGAGGGATGAAAGAGCCACATGCAGCTCCAGAGCCGCAGGTTGCTGACCCCTGGACTAAAGCAAAAGAATGCTGCCGTGCTGTAATTTGTTTTATATGTACTTAAATATAGGCCTGAGCAAGAGTTCAAACCTTTTAACTTGCTGACTTGATTTTAAAAAATGAGGCATAATCTGATATTCTTTAAGGGAAGAAAAAAACCATTTGAACTGGGTTGCCTAACAGGTATTTTTGTTAAGAAATGTAGTTATATCCTGATTACACAAGTATATAGGAGATGTGATATTCCCAAACAGACCTTATGGTGCCAGACTGGTCCATGCATTTTCAGTTGAGGTTTTCATTAATACTAATAAATTTGCAAAAGATCATACTACAGTATAATTCCTTCTAGGCTGCAATATCAAATCCTTTTTTCAAAAAAATGAGAAGGAGAAGTTGTAATAAGATCAACAATTAGTGTAATCAGTCATATCAATTTCAAAGTATACATTTAAAACATAACATGGATTTGAATTAAGCCTATATACTCATGTCACACACAGAAAATTATTGTAAAGGCTAAACATTCTCAAGCTTCTCCTATCCTTCCATAATGCTAAGAAGGGTCTTTTTTAAAGATTCAACATGCTATGTAGCCATGATGGTAAACCTATGGCACGAGTGCCAGACATGGCATGCAGAGCCCTCTCTGTGGGCATGCGCACAGTCGCCCCAGGCCAGCTCCAATCACGTTTCTCCATCACATTTCACTCAATCAATTCCAACTTCTTGCAAAAGTAAAAAATCTCACGAAGTTGGAATTGAGTGAACTTTTTCACTCATGCGCTTCACAATGGGGGAGACGGGATCCCGTCCTCCTCCTGAAGCCCCCTTCTTCATGGGATCGCCCAGTAGCGGGAATGGAGAGGGAGAAGGGGGTGGCGTTCCTGTGTGCTCCCGTTTCTCTGTGGTACTCTCCCCTCAATGCTAGCAGCTGCCCTACTCCCTCTCCATTCCCGCTGCTGAGTGATCCTGTGTAAAGAAGAGGGCTAGTAGAGAGGGGAGAGTTTGAGGTTGCTGCTTCTGGGACGAGGGGACACGGGAAGCATCTGGGTCCAGCTCACCTGGCTTCTTTTCCTCTTGCAACCAGATTTCCCAGTCTAGCTTGATGCAGGCTGTGTGTGAGTGTGTGTGTGAGAGAGAGAGAGAAAGAGAGAGAGAGAGAGAGAGAGAGAGAGAGAGAGAGAGAGAGAGAGATCCAATCTCAGAGAGTTATATCAGGGCTGGTGGCAGTGTGCGCACTCTCTCTCTCACACACACAGAGATGCAAAAAAACCAGGTTGGATCTTTCTTTCTTTCCTCCCCACTCCCACTGGAAACCCCTGGATTCCCTCTCTAACCCTGCCTGTCTCATACAGGCACCACCCACATGAGTGATGTAGAGTTGGCTATGCCCCCTCAGTCACATGATCCCCCCCAGCCACACCCACCTGATCATTAGAAAGAAGCGGTTGTTAAAGTATTTGAATCCTACAACTGGTAGTAAAACCTTATTATTCAGGTTAAATTGCCGTGTTGGCACTTTGCAATAAATAAGTGGGTTTGGGGTTGCAGTTTGGGCACTTGGTCCTTAAAAGGTTTGCCATCACTGCTATATAGCATGAGATTTTTGCAGGAATTGTGCTTTAAAGTGTGGTTTGCACTCACAGTATCTCAGTGGACTCAAGCATTTGATCCTGGACTGAGCATTGAATGTAAGTTGTTTTGCCTCCAAAGACATATTTAGAAGAATTTCTGTGACATGAATTTGGTTTGAACCAGGGGTGAAATCTAGCAGGTTCTGAAGGTTCTGGAGAACCAGTAGCAGAAATTTTGAGCAGTTCGGAGAACCAGTAGTGGAAATTTTGAGTAGTTTGGAGAATTGGCAAATATCACCTCTGGCTGGCCCCAGAGTAGGGAGGGAATGGGGATTTTGCAGTATCCTTCCCCTGGAGTGGGGTGGAAATGGAGATTTTGCAGTATCCTTCTCCTGCCATGCCCACCAAGCCACACCCACAGAACTGGTAGAAAAAAAATTGGATTTCACCACTGGTTTGAACATTAGGCATCTTGTGTTTCAGCAGGAAGTGGGAAAGGGGAGAGGAAAATTAGATCAGAGGAAAAAGGAGACGAAGTGGAAGAAGAAAGGAAACAAAAGCAGAAGACCAAATCTAGAACACAAAGGAGAGGCAAAAAGTAATAATGGTAGTTTAGCTGGCAAGAGGCGATTAAAAATGCTTTTCTTAACAAGAGAAAACCTCAAAATACAAAGGAAACTAATGGATTTTGACTGGGAAAGCCATTTATCTCTGAACAAACAATAA